CACCACGCTCACGCTCACGCTCACGACCTGTGTGGCACGTGTGTGTGTGTGTGTGTGATTATCTCCAGCACCTGGATGATAATTAAGGCTTACCTACTGAATACTGATCAACAAATCCTACCTATGTACAGTGCGCTTGCTCCATCGTCTTGTCTCTCTTACCCGTCACCTGAAACAATTAAATTCCCTTTTGCTCTCTTTCCCTCTCTCTCTCTGCGATCTGATTAGCTCATTTTCTGCGATTAACGCAACTTAAAATCTTGACATAAGACTGTTCAATTGCCTCTAATCCGAGCGTGATGGCACTACTGCTATGCACAGTTGAAGTTCACTGAGTATGCTAAAGACTGGAGACTGTGGACAATGTGTGGGTTCTTTCTCGGGTTCGCTGGGCATGCATCACATCCCTTATTGCAGCTGAACCATCCGATCGATAGATACGTGAATTCGATCGATCAGGTGATTTTTTGCGCGGGCATAGAAGGAAGATAAGTTATGAATTCGAGGCTGCCTCGGTGTTGATACAGAATCATCACAGGAGAATCAGTAAAATCACGTTTTGTAGCAGAATTTGCTCGAAAATATCTTTCTGATCATCCGTCCCAATCGCTGTTTTCGTGTCCCCATGAACCCGATCAAAGCACACTGGAAATTACCTCTTGAGAATGCGAATTACCAAACCAGGCGTGACTGGTTGTTGGTGATGTCTGATGCGGGTTTAAAACTGTTGTACAATCTCGGATATCTGAAAACCGTGAAATAATTGTGGTAATTGGTTTTCTCCACAGACCAATTCGGTATACATCAAATACACAATCACCCGGACAGGAAAACGGGCCGCATTAAATCAATCTCTACCGTTCAACAGAGGTGAAACTAGATCGCTGGTGGTGGGGTTTCGAACTCGTGAAACACGAGAGACTAGTATTGGGCCAATATTGTTTCAAATGCTTTGTTCATTTGAACAACGAATTCCAGTAGACCGTTTATCTATGTATTCGATGGAGGGTAGTTGAACCTAAAAGATCACAGCTCTGAGACAAATCTGAAGGGTCAAGAAAACAAACAAGTCAATATATTCCTGTCGTTTATTCAATATCCAACCGGATGCAGTAATTGTCCTATCACACTCAACAATGAGTATACATGCTTCTCAATCAACCGTGAAAGCATTTCAACCCCAAGCTATTTGGTTCGATCAGGCTGATGAGAATGAGTGACATATGCAGTGTGCTGCCGGAATGGCTACTCGTTTCTTCTTGCGATTGCTGCCTTTGAACTCCACGAGGTAAATACATCGTTAGACAAGCAATTCCATCAATTTATCTATACGTTTCCGCGCACAATAATAATAATAGTAATAATAACATTCAACTTATAATTATGGTACATTAGAACTTCGGAAAGATAGCCACGACATATACAAGAATGCTGATCAATGAACGTGGAAGTCAGAGTAAGGGTGAACCGGTGAAGTAAAACAGCATGGAATTCAAGGTAAACGAATACCGCTCGAATATTTGTGTGTGTGTGTGTGTGCATACTACAGTCAGTATCCTGTGATCCCCTAGCACCTTATCCTTCAACGGTCTTATATATACATTATATATATATATATCATTTGCAACACCAGATAAATTGGATTGGCACCTGTTATGGCTTACAACTGACTGATTTGTGTTCATTTGTGTTCATACCTGTGGTCAAATTGATTGATTGATCGATTGACTGACTGTTTGATTTCTGGCTTGACGGCATACGCATGTGCTGCGACGTGTGAGCCGGACTCTGCCTGCCTGCCTGCCTGCCTGCCTGTCTTCCTACATACTGATCGTTCCTGCTTGTACCCCAGTTTGTGTACCGGCTACATTTTTTGCTGTTTACAATAAACTTACTGCTTCATTAGTTGTGTGCTCATTTGCCTACTAAATGTGGGACACAATAGCACCGAAGCCACATTGGTTGCTATTAGTAGTTTCTAACCTCCCTACAAACATCGAATTATACTATTGATTCATAAATGAACTAGTTTTGAAAGAGATGTCCACCCAAATTTCCCCGGTGCTGCAAATGAGGTTACTGGGACAAAAATACCCTTTCTGGGTACAAGTACATGAACGTAGAGACAAAAGACTGCCGGATACGCATGCCTGACGAGCGGCAAGAATCACGAAACCGGTTGTGTGGTTCCAGGAAAAATGTATTAGGTCATTCACATACTGTTTATTATTATTATTACATATTAATATATATATATGCAGCATACTGTATGCACTGATGCAGATGCTCAGAAAATGATTGACTTGTTATTTATTTGACTTTAAATTTTGATCTTCTTTGTCTGGTTATCGATCCAGAGCATCGCGGAATCTTTCATTTACTCTGTGAGAATAGACTTAAATATTTGGTTGCGCCCTTTCCTTCCTGCTAGATGATCATACTGCGAATAGGCATATGTTCGTACATAGTTCTGACTAATTCTGTCATCTCCCGAATCCATCTGTAACACAGGACACAAAATGCATCCCTGGATGATGCACGGGGCACTGTTCGTCTCGAGTCAAACAATTACCCGACGGACACGGAGCATGACCATCTACTTGCAACCGTATTGGCCCGTCTCGTGCTCGACTCGCACACGGAGCTGGTGTCCGAGGCATTGGACCTGCTATTTCGACATTCCGGTCAGAACGAAGCTTTTCTTAGTGCCACCAAACAAGTGAGTGGGTTGTGTTTAGACACACACACACACAGGGGAAAACCCACTCTCACTGATCTTGTCTGTTTGCCTTCCTAAAAGGCACCAGTAAGTCTGAAAGAGAGGCTTGGAAATAATCAATGACACTTGCCTTTTTACTTCAAAACAACACGGAGGTCTGCTCATTCAAAACGAGCCTCAAGGACAGGGTTACCATGCAGCAAGTTTATTTGTTTCGTTTTCAGAGAACCAGTGAAATTAGTCATATACACCTGGTTGTTGGTATGGCATCAACAACCAAGAATGAGTCTATCTCTTCCTGGATTCCAGAGCCGAAACGGTGGAATTTCGCCTCTTGCAAAGCAGGTGGGACACAATAGTACAATAGTATCTATGAGTTCGGGTCAGTATGTTTATGGTTACGAAGAAATGGAGTGGGGGACATCATCATCCGAATCATCATTATCATCATTGTACATTGAAAGACAGTGAGGCGAACTTCACTGATCGCTGTCAAACTCGCAAGGCATACAAGAATCATGGTAAAATTTAAGGTGGACAGGGATTGAACCTATTTTGAGGGAGGGGGAGAAAGTGAACCTCCATGGTCAACACATAGAGAGTGCACAATCGAATTCTGTCCATACATACCGCTTCAAGCATTCTGGTCTGATAAGCAATGATAGCAAGAAAGCCAGTGCTGTCGGTTCACTGCCATACCCTTCGATGTCTCCAATCAACCGGCTGTGGAGTGTTTTAGATCCCAACCTGGAACGCGATAGACACCCACTCTACATAATGGCTCTGTGCATTTCTTCACGCCTGGTCTTCACGTCATCTGTTGGCCTCCACGTGGTTTCCTCAAGCCAGGATTAGTTACAGCGAATAATGCACGGTGCGGTAGGCGACAGCTGGGCATACGCAACACGTGCTATAGCCATTCTACTAATAAGAAATCGGTGTGCTACCAGATTTATCCCTCATAAACTACCAAACACCCAGAATGTTGCGCAATCGATGAGTTGAAAACCCTGCGTTCAGAGTATAACGCTGGGATCAATTCGTTTCTATATAACTACTACATTTCTACTTGCAAGCCACAGAGCAATGTGTCAAGTCATCCATATTAAGACAATATTTGTGTTTGTATTTGTATAGACTTTTGTGTAAATAAATGTCTACATTTCAGTCAAAATTAAACAGTATCTCAGGAAAAACGGTATAAATACAAGTAAAACATTTGACCTCCAATGTTGCTGAGAAATGCGGATGTAGGCTTCAACTAATTTGCGTTTGTTTTTATCGGTGTAGGAATGTGAGGTGTGCCAAGGGTTCATCGAGTTCGTGCTTCAAAGACTCAATAGTTGGTACACAAACGACGTGAGATGGAGGGCTGTTCCAATTAATGTATACTCTGGCTGCAAAAGATTGGCGCTGGTATTCCAGTCGACACTTTGGAATCAGTAACTTGAAAAAGTGTCCCCTAAGGTGTACATTGTTCGATAACATGGGCAGCGGCCATCATGGAAGTGTTTGGGTTCTATGGTGTCTGGTAAGTCAAAATGAAGAATCCCGCAATTCAGCAGTACTGAGCAGGACANCAGTACTGAGCAGGACATAGTCCTAATAATCGTCATCGCTCCGCATAGCTGAGGTAATGCAGTCTGTTGATTATCTTGGTGGCCATCCTTTGTGGGCGCTCAAACATTTTGCGATCATATTGCAACCATGGGCTTCAAGCTTGGATGGTGTACTCAGGGTACGGTCGAATGTACACTGATAGCAAGCGTGAGAACAGTACTGATTCAAATCGGCCAAAGACTCGTCTAAGTAAGCCGATATTCTTCACAGAAACGGACGAAGCCTAAGCGCAGTTGATTGAACAGCCTAAATCCTCTTGAACAACAATACCCAACTCCTTTCCACTTGAAGAATGTGGTAGCTGCTGATTTCCGAGGAAATACGAGAATCTGCGCTTTTGGAGTAGAGATGGGATTTTGCACTTAGAAACACTGAATTCATTGTCGTTCTCCTTAGACCATTGATAAGCTGCGTTAAGTGGTTCTTGAAGTGTTACAGAGTCCTTGGATTATGTTACTGTATTCCAGATTTTGGAATCGTCTGCAGACAGTATTGTTTTTGGACCTAACAATTTCAGTAGATCATTTATGAATGCGAGCAACAGATAGAAACCGAGTACGGACCCTTGTGGAAAAGCGCGAGTGACGTTGATAGATCCGGATAGTGAATCAGAAAGACGGACTGATATGGTCCGTTTTTGGAGTAATGCTCTAATCTAATCAAACACGCAATCTCGAATGCCCTAACTGTAGAGCTTCTGTGACAGGATTCGGGGATTGACCCGATCAAATGCTTTCGCGAAGTCGAGACAAATCACATCCACCGCATCCCCTTCATGAACTGTGCTGGTTCATTCATCCCGAACAAGAAGTAGGTTGGTGGAGCAGGATCGCTTTTGCCTAAACCCGTGTTAACCTGTCGAAAGAATGTTGTATCTTTCGAGGTGTTGCATTAGGGAATCTGCCACAGTTGACTCCATGACTTTCGATAATACCGGAAGCAGGGTTACAGGCTGGTAGTTAGCGGAGTCACTAAGAACACCACCTTTGTATATGAGTGAAATAACTCCTGGTTTCCACGATTTTGGGAGTGTTACTTGGTCGAACATTGGTCGGAACAGAATGGATAGCGGTTCGGATATGTGATTTGCCACAAAGATTCGGCATTCCAGGTGTATATTGTCCGCACCTGGGGTTGCATTTTTTTGCAAAGCCACTGGTTTTCAGAAGTTAAGGATACACTGATGAGTGAAGGATATGGCAGGTGATGCCATTAGTAAGGTAGCTGTAGACCTTCAAATTGGGTGTTCAGCGAAAACGTTAGAATAGTGAGCTTTCAGCATTTCAACTGCTTCCGTTGGAATGGCTGCGACTCTTCCAGCGCTGCTCAGTACCGCTAACCAAACGTTGCTTTCCCAATGAGTCCAAGCAGATTTTCCGTTCCAACAATTCACAGGGGTTGATCGAACTCGTGTGATATAACACTCAATTTAGACATATATATTCAAAATTCCGACCTTCACAATTGTGAATCAATAACTGTGGGTGAAGAGCATTTTGTTCTAGCTTTATCTCTCATTGCAATGTTCTTTGTTCTCTTGTGTATCAACGTCTGCATTCGGGCGACCTTGAGTATCCCAATCACATGTGTAGCAGCAGTTCAGAATTGGAAAACATTTGGTTGCAGTGCAGCCTGGTAGTCCATTCGTTCTGATCAATGCCATTTGCTTTATACGGGTTCTATCCTGTTTAATGAACGTATTCCGAATAGCACGTCAGTTTTCGTACGATGCCAGATAAATACACAGATAAATGATAATTTTTTTATCCTCAGTAAATTGACAAATTATGTGGCTTGAAACTTTTTTCGTAAAATATTTCTCCTCATGAAGAGAGCCAAACTGTGGCCCAAAAACAGTGGAAATTGAAATTGTTGTTTGCGGCTCGCCGAATGAGCGTTTTGTCAATGTCACCGTGCCCAAACCAGATCAAACCTCGATGATTTTTGGGTGTACACATGTGAAGCCAAGAGGTCACGTATTCGAGAGTCGGGTAAATACAACATCTCGGTTCCTGACTTGTCCGAGTGCTTTGATGTGAACAGAAGCAAAACACTCATGGCCGATTCAATGAAATTTCTCCATCACGCTCTCAAAGCAGAGAAAATAAAACCGATCACGTTGAAGCAAGGCAATGATTACATTCGGTTGCAGCTGACAGAAGGGGTAAACAACTAACATTGTGGATAATTCGATGGATTAACCGCAACTTTGGCGGTGCTGACCGAGTGGTAACGTCACCAAATGATCACCTCGGAAGACGTGTGTTCGAATCCCACCAACACCGCCTGATTTGCCCCTTTGACCTGGTCGTTTCCCTCCTAACTGAAAATCTTATTATAAATTATATTATTATTATAAATTATTATGATTATAATTTATTATTATTATTATTATTATAAATTCAATCAGCGGAAGCAAAAGGAAGCGTAATAACTTTCATATGCCACCATCCAGAAAAAAACTACCAAATTTGAATTACATTTGAAGTTAGTTTAACAGAACACTGGTAAAGTACACTCAACTGGAGAGGGCAGTCATTGATTTTTTTGTTGATAAATTCAAATCCTATCAGCGGTCGTTTTATTAGTCGGGTTATCTCATCGAGGAATATCCATGGGATGACGACATGATGAAACCAGATGGAGAAAAGTGATCTGTTGATCTAATTTTCATTCGAAATCCATTTGATCAGTCCAAAAATAGAAATATTCGTTCTCCCCCCCCCAGCCACCCACCCATCCCCGATGAGTTGGGTAGCAGTTAACTGATGAACGCCTTATTTCTGGCCTTACGTATGCGTGAGATTTTGGACAGTGCTAATTGTGTTGCCTGGACCAAGCAGATTTTCGGTGACTGCCACTCTGTAGAAGTGCATTTGCATAATACCATAGTTTTTCCAGATCATGCTCACATCTCACGCGAGGTTTATCATAGAATATTTTGAACCTCATCATATTCAAGATGCCGCACAACTTCGATCAATCAATAACTGATCGAAAATCGCCACTGGAACTGATAGATACAATTAGAATTTGGTGCGAACAGGGGCAGACATGGGGATTTTTTTCACCAATCCTGTTTGTTGATAGCCGAGTGCGGTTGAGAAAACAAGCCATGGTTCAGCCACGTGATAAGTACGATCAATGGGTAGAGTGGAGCATTTAGTCACCATTCAGCTGTTATTTTCAGCTTTGATTGTTAGCTGCATAAAATCCCCGTGATTTGGATGCGCAGCGTTAGTCTGATACGAGAATGATTGCGCATAAACCTTTTTGGATACTGGTTGTCTGATCAGGTTCCACCTATCTGTCTGTTACCTGTTTTCCTCACCGTGAAAATCTTCAGAGATAAAAATTTTCATCCCCTCATAAATAGCGTTCGGACTACCCTGACGTGATATGCTATTGCAGTGACACGAATAAGATCAAGGCGTTTTGTCCAGGAACGTCGTTTTGTGATGTATAGAGACTTCATCATTGCTCCTCCAGTCTGGCAATCATTTGCCGTGCAAGACGCTCCCACTAGCAACAGCAGCAGCAGCAGCAGTAGCTCAGCATTATTTGTTTTTTTTCGGGCCAATACAATCACGAATGCATACATTATGTGCCCCCACATCAGGCTTCGAACCACGAACTTTCGGGTTGGGACTTCAAACCGAGCTACATGATCGACGGTCATCACCTTTGTGCGAATGGTTCAATCAATTTACAGGGTTAAGTTTGCATTAAACAAGCCACACCGCTAGCTAAAACGCAAGAATTGGTCATCCAAGTGACAAGGAAGTTGGATGATGAACTCTATAGTACCAGATACCTTGGGGCGCATAAGAAACCCCAGGGTTCTCTCTCATTTTGTGAAAAATGTCAAAGGAATAAGACATTTATAATTAACCCCGTTACATTTTAAAAATCAGCGTGGCGTAACCGCACTATCAAACTGTCGGAGCGCTAATACAAATCCGATTGTAACAACCAGTCCGGAAACGGAA